GGAATCTGAATATATTAATAATACAAGGCATTGCCTGTGCCACCACAACTACAACACATTAATCGTTTAAAGTTGCAAGGATTTCCCTCTTCAATTGCCCATATCTTCAAGCATTCTTTATTTTTCACCATGTTCTTTGCTTTTCCATACAAGTTTAACTTCAATTTAGTTCATTGGATATATATATATTTAAAAATAAAAAAATCCCACAAGGTTTTATACAAGGCTCTTCATTTCCTTTCTTCAGATTCTTAAACTGCTTCATTACTACAATTTTATATAATTGTTCCTTCCTTTGATTAGTTTCAAGAATCCATTCGGTTTAAGAACTGATAGTTTTTGCCTTGCATGTGTTTTCCCATTACAAAGTTTTTGCAACAACCAGATGACCGTCTCATTTTCCCGCTATACTTGTGAACACTTAATGTAAATCACATGGTATGTGAAATAAATCATATGAATATTAATGCATTTGATTTCACTTGCCTCAGTTTTTTTCTACCCAGGAATTATATTACTCACCATTGTCATATTCACTTGCAGTTTTCTGAAATTTCTCCTTTTTCTGAATTAACTTGAAAAAGCAGTTACCCTTTATTCATTAAATCATTGTATTTCAGAACCTTCATTTCTGCCTCAAAGGTCAATGTATGTCATAACTGCTTTTATATGCTTTTTGGTGACTCCTACTTAAGTAGTTTATTTGCTCAATGACATCATTAAGATATATCACTGCAATAAAGTTCACATGCTGACAGAAAAATCAGTTCCAAATGAGTAAATGCCAAATCCATTTTTCAGTTTAAACCCCAGCATGCCATCTTTAAATAGTACTATTTTGAAGTTGTTTATAAGTAATGCCAAACCAGTTTCAAGTCAATCTAAAAAGTAGGTTTTAAAAATGAGTTTAAAGTTATAAAATGAGTGGAGTTAAAGATGCTTACTATGAGATAAAGAAAAAGAAAAATAAGAAAAATTGCTGACAAACAGATCAGCTCATAAATGAGTTGCTTTTGTTTTTCTTTTGAAAAAGAAATTTTCTACGAAGAAAATTGCTGTATACAAAACCATTCAATACTTCTGTGAAGTTAAAGAAAGCAGTGTTCTGAACTCTCTGAGCACAATCTAGATAATTTACAGCACTTTTTGGTCCCACTGAAATCTAGAGGACTTCGAAGTACTTAATCTTTGGCTATATCATGACAGATTTTGTACTATGTGGATTTGTCATAGTTAATATGGGTGTCACTAAAATAAGTTTGCATTATACCAAATTGCACAGAGATGAGTTCAGAAACAGAAGTGATTCCCTGAGTTCACTAAATAAAAAAGACCAAAGTCAAGAACTAAAACAAGTTATTTCATGCTTCAGGCCAGGAATATTGAGGAAAATTATCACTGATAATAAGTCCAAACAACTTGATCCTGGAATTCTCATGCACACAAAGTTGCACTTGTATTTAGTTTTCCAATATACAGACTCTGTTCTATACTAACACCTAGAATTAAACATTAGTATGAGTGCTGTCTAACCCGATTTGTCACACACATACTGGTTAACCTATATCACGCCAGTTATCAGAACAGATGATAGAACAATTTGTATTAAAGACAAGCAGCTACTTAGTAAAACTCAGAAAGCTGAAGTATGTGGGAACTCAAATATCATAGTACAGGAAACAATTGTGGATGGGTGGGGAAGAACCAAATTATGAACATTTCAAAGGAAAGGAAAGACCTGAAATACATTATCGGGTGGGAGTGGGGAGATTGGTGGGGATAGAATTACTTTTCAAGCCCAATATTGTCACTATTAAAACTACTTAGGAAATTATGAAACTATGCTTCAATAGCACTTTGTTCATTTTGTTTACCAACAATAGAATAATTTTACAAAACAAATGTTTGCAGAATACAGTATGAAAACTAAAATATTGCTGTTTCTTATGTGACACTATTTTATGAAAACATGTTGGGCTTTGTGCAAGGACTGCTTCCTTGTAAACAAATCTTCAGGCCTTTCACATGATTTTTGGTACCCCTTCTTGAAAATGTGTGGAACTCTTTACAAGGAGATAAACAGTGTGAGCATCCAAATACACATCCCATTGAAATGGATAGTGAGGGATTATTAATATTATAAATTTAGTGCAAATGTAAACTTAAAAGTCCAAGAAAAGCATTAACCAGTTAAATGTTGGTTTAAAGCTCTTCGATTCCATGCCCAATAAGCATGGGACACCTTTGCCCAGCAGCGCTGTGGCCCATAGATTGCAGCAAAATAATGGGCAAGGTTTTGCCCAGTATCTTCTCTGTGTGATGGGCTCATGGGAAAAAGCTGTCCCATTAACCTTTGCTGAAGATGGAAGGGGAAAGCCTATATAAGGCTGCTTTCCCTGGATCTCACAGCCATTTTGCTTTGAGAGCTTCCCACCCACCTATCTTTGGGTTAGAACCTGGCCGACCGGCTGACTCCCGCTGTATAGATTTTGAGCGATCCAAACACAGCGGATCCATTCCATCAACATGGAGCTTGTGGAACGATGAACTGATCCTGGGACCCAAGCCATGCCAACCCTTGCCCTGCCTGCTGCTGTCAATAAAGATTTTATCCTATCACCATTGTACAGTCTGGTTATTTTGCTGCTATCATGGGTTGCATACTGTGCCTGCCTGGGCAACTCCAAATTCAAAACCACAGCCCTTAGGTATCCTAAGAAAACTAAGTACATTAGTCCAGTGCTACTAGCCTAGGTGTTTAGAATGCAAACAGTAATCCAAGTCTCTTACAACACAATTCTACTCAGAAGTAAGGACCACAGAATTTAATGGAACTTAATTCTAGTTCCAGCGTCTCCACCCCCATTGGTCTGTCTGGACACTGAGATCCAGCGCTGAGGGTTGGTAGTTCCCTCACTGCGAGAAGCGAAGTTACAGGGAACCAGGCAGAGAGCCTTCTTGCTAGTGGCGCCTGCCCTGTGGAACACCCTCCCAGCAGATGTCAAGGCAATAAACAACTATCAGACTTTTAGAAGACATCTGAAGGCAGCCCTGTTTTGGGAAGCTTTTTACACTGGATAAATCATTGTATTTTAATATTCTTCTGGAAGCCACCCAGAGTGGCTGGGGAAACCCAGCTAGATGGGTGGGGTATAAAGAAGAAGAAGAAGAAGAAGAAGAAGAAGAAGAAGAAGAAGAAGAAGAAGAAGAAGAAGAAGAGGAAGAGGAAGAAGAAGGCGGCTACAGTCCAAGTAATCCAAGGGAAAATAATCATTTCACTGCTTGGGGGTGGGGGCATACACCAGTACTTGAAATGATAATACAGATAACCTTCCAACATTACTTAGATGAAAATAAGGGCATTCTATTCTACTTCAATATCTCCCGCTGTACCCCCTACATATGTGCACTGCCAATGGAATATAAGAAAAAGGCAAGGGTGACTGAGTTACCCCAGTGTGTTCAAACTGTAAGCTCCACCAAATTCAAATACAAGTGTGCTCAAGTTTGAAATCTTACACACATGCTGTCCCATTCCAGTCAGTGAATGCACACAAAGGGACCCACAACACTTTTAAACTGTTAGAAGTGTACATTTACACCCCATGGGCTTCCAAGGAATAATACTCAAAAAGCTGGTTCTGACCTGCTGAATTTTTGCAAATCATTTATCAGTTATGGAGACATTAACTCTGCTGGGGGGGGGAGGTGTCAGTCTATATGCCCAACGTTACCTTTGCATATACTGTATATACATGATGACAGCACACATACACACATGCTAAAAGGCGATTAACTTGCAACACGCCTACACCTCAGGTGCAATGCCTGCTTCCTATCAACTGAACTCAGTTGGACAACACACACAAGCTCCCAAGTTACAGCACCCTTGTGCTCAAAGGCTTGCACAGCGCTTTAAAGGCCTAACACAAACATTCATTTGCAAATTCAAAAAGGGATTGAATGAAAAGCTTAAACATACTTATTCACAACACCAGCCCAATGGAATTTACGTAGCTTCTATCCTTTTGAAGACCCCACAAAACTCCAGCTTCCAGGGCAGCTTTTAAGGAGCTGAACTGTGAATGGCAAACTGCCAAAGGAGAAGCATGTCTGCTTTGCCCAGTACCTGTCAAGTGCCCAGCCTGCGATGGGCATCCTCAGCTCCAGGAATGTAGCCATGCCTCTCACCCTCAGAGCCTCTTTCTTCCCACCCTCACCCCCCAACAAGCCCCTGTGTATGTCTCTTCTCTGTAGCCAGTCTGGCTCTTCCCTGGCTATGAAAGCAAATCCCACTGACTTCAATGGGGCTTACTCCCAAGTAGACATGGGTGGGTTTGGGAGAGAGAAAGAGAGAGAAAGAAAATGAACCACTATCTAACTTTGCAAAGTCATTGGCTCTGAGGCGACTGTTTTGCTCTGGGGCCTTGCCCAATGCTCCTCTGCTGAGCCAAGGAGACCCTGCCAGTGTGAATTAATGAGAGAGGGTGGACAGGCACTGTGGAAAGTGAACTAAACAGGTAAGAGCATTTCTCTCAGTAGTTTATATAGGACAGCAAGGTGGGGAGTTCAGAAACCAAGATACTCTTAAAGGAGCTGCAAGCTAGTAGCAATTTTGCCCACAGCTCTTTTAAAATTGGGACAGCCTGTGGCACAGGAAGAAACCATGATGGCTTACTGGTTTTCATGGCAGCCCTGGCATAGTCGTGACATTTGGAGACTATGGCTAATTACTGCTCTCTTTCCGTAAGCACAAGTGGAACTCTGATAAGCTTGATTTTGGATCCAATATATTTGTCCAATTATCTGTTGGGCAATTTTACTTCACAAGAGAAAAACATTATACTGAATACAGTGATGCATAACACTGGAGTGTTATGAAAACTTTACTAACTCAAATAATTAAAGGCAAATTATAATTTTCAATCAGAATTATTTTAAAGAGTGCATTCCCATTTTCCTTTCACAATACAATTTAGGAAAGAGAAAGTAGAACTTACATTCAATATCAAGATACATGCTCTTTTGGTGCCCTCCAATTCTACTTGCTGCTTCACAGTCGTATCTTCCTGAATCTGACAACTTCACATCTTTAATGTGCAGTGAGGATCTTCCATGTTGCCCTTTGACTTCTATCCGGCCATCTGGGCTCTGTAGACATTCAGGAAAGAAGTTTTTGTGTAACTTATTTTGTCTTCAATTTATTTTGTACTAAATGCTACTAACAATTGTATCTGAATGCATACCTCTTTTGAAAACAGAGCAATTTTAATAAAGCTTATATGACATATTCTGGATGTTTTAAAATAGTGTTTTAACCATAATATATGCATTAGTGTTTATTGTGTACTTTGCATAGTGTTTATTCTGTACTTTGCCTTAAATAATTAGCTTCATGCTGTTAAAGGATTAAAGTTTCAGTCACCATCTCACACAGGCCTGGTTCTCCCAGAGTCCTTGTGATAATGATCTATGTCAGGTGAGGCAGATATTTGTGGATTTCTTTCCAAGATGACCTGATCTATGTGTCTCAAGGAATGGTGGCAACCAAATGATAGAGCAAAGGCTTTATTGCAAAAGTGCCAGGTATAGTTCCTGGAATCTACACATATAGTTGGAATAGGGCCTTGTCTGAAACCTTAGAAAACTACTCCCCATCAGCATAGACAATGCTAGATGGACAAATGATCTAGGCTCAGTATAAGGCACATTTCTGTGTTCCTATTACTAATGTGTGAAACTTGCATGTCTCTGAATGCTGAAATGCTATTCTTGGCAGTTTAAACATTATCAAAATACACATTTAAATAGCCTTTGGATTATTATTATTTTAAATACACATTTAAATATGTATTTTGAGAGGGTGTTTACATTTGCGATTAATGCAGTCATGGAACAAAACAGAAAGTGGCACAGACAGGAAGCAAACAGATTTCAGCATCTCTTGGCTGGGAAACCAATCTGCCTTGCACTCACTTCGCCATAGTGTAGTGTATCATACATAGTGCTTATACACACATGTCTGTACCAATATAGGCTCATCTTAATTACCTCTTCACATTTTTGGTGGGTATAGATTGGGTGGGTCAGGCCTACATATGTAAAGACATGTAGACTGCATGCTCGACATCATAAATGCATGCACAATGTACTTTATGCTCTATATATGGTGCTAGGGGACAGTGGAGAGGCTGAGGCTTGCTCCTGCACTTCAGTACACATGGGACACTGATGCTGAGACCATGAATAAAATGACACACACACACTCACTCAACCTTCTTAATTAAAGCACACTGTATATGTTACTTGATGGATATAATGGCTTTAAAAAATTATAGAATAAAGCAGTCCTCATTTGAAGTGTTCTGGTTTTGTACAAATGTAAAACCAGAATATTTAGAACCAGAATAAATTGGTTCCCCACTTTTTCATAACATAAAGTAACATATCACAAACAGATTTGAAAATAATAGTTACTTGCACTCTAATCAGATTGACATATTATATTGAAGATATCCATGAATAATGCAGATGTAAAACACTTAAAAGAGTAATGCTGACCTACATGTACCTAAAGGCTGTGCAAACCACAAAATGCAAGTAAACCGCCTAGCATAGTGCAAAGAAACAGAAGGGCTAAATGTTTCTTCTTATAATGACACAATTGCTAAAGACAGTCAATGTTTTCTTTTTTTAAAAAAACAAAACTTGTGAGGCATTTGCTGTGAAACTGCATGTAGCCTTTAGATTTTGTAGTTTTATTGAACTTGTTTCAAAACCTATGCAATAAAAAATAATAAAGGGCATACAATGTTGTAAAGGAAAATATAATTAATTCATCAGTAGCAAATACAGTCTAGAGAAAGGCACACCGAAGTCCCCCTGAAATGAATGGTACAATTAAGCACTTAAATCCTGCTGATTTCAGCTGTATTCAAACATGCCTAAGGTTTTGCAATTTTTAACCAATGGCAATTTTATGTATGCAGAAAAATGTGATACTGACACAAAGTTTGGATATAGAGCTCCTTCTTCACAGTGTCATTCTATACATCTGCTCAGATGTAAGTCCCTCAGAGGTCAATGGGGCTGGCTGTCATCTAAGTGGGCACAGAACTGCAACCTCACAGTGCTAATGACAAAATGTAAAAACTGAATTCAGATATCGTCCAGTGCTGGGACCACTGTGGCCCTTCTGAAGGACTCTAGGTCCCATCAGCCTCACTATAATGGCCAATATAGAATACAGATCAAGAGGTCTGGGCCCCAGAACCCAGCAATATAGGGGTGAAGGCTGCTGCACCAGAGAAATAAAGAAAGTGGTAAGGAGTGGAACCCAAAGTACCTAGAGGTACATCTGTAATATGCAGATCCCAGAGTGCCTATGCAGAGCTAGCTGTAAAGGGGTGGATCTATTTATCTATGGAATACAGCTAGTTCTTGTCCTGTAAACAAGCAAGACCACCCACACATAGCTTTCACCTATGGCACAAGTACAAAACATGAACTAAATGTGTAGGCAGAACCATTTGCTGAACGACGAGCCAAACTACAGACTACATTCTAGTGTCATATATATTCAGGAGAAATCAAAAAAATTAAAATAATCCTAGCAAGCATTTACACTTTTTGTCAGATGGGCAATCTGAGATTAACGGTGTGTAGCTCAACGATGAATCAGTGACTCCAATGGCAGAACATGCCAAAACTAACACAAAGAACAAATCCCTCAATGAAACATGAGTGAAATTAAACTTTTAAAAAAGCGCAGTTTGCATTACAAATCTCCCTCCCACACACAATGACCTACAAACTTTGCCTCAGCGTTTTGCCACAATTCCATCATCCCTTGCCACTGTCTTCATCAGGATGATGGAGTTGTAGGCAAAAATCTGGACACATGGAAACACTCTAAACAAGCTAGCATTCCTTTCCCTTTGTATTGTGTGCAGTTATATACTCCTCTGACACTTCTCATCCAGTTGCTCCTCTTCTATCTCAACCTGAAGCAGCCACCATTTTCTACTTCTGTGATGCCCAACCCACTACTTAGCACAGTTATATTGCCTGTGTAACCACGTAGTGCTGCCATTACAGTCTGCTTTTGCCATTAGAATGCCAGCTCACGCATTATGGGAAGGTTCTGAATCACACAATGAGCCAAAGAGCACAGTGCAGGCTCCCTTCTTCAGACCTTTGCTGAATGCATGACAAGCAGGGTGAGCAGAATGAAAGAATACAGGATCGCCCTGCTCCCGTGCTCCATGCAATGTTAATCATATGAAGGTGAATGCCTGACCAACAAACTGAAACTAACGGGGGGGGGGGGAATAAAAGAGGATGCCTTAATCCCAGTGTGGCTCTCCTTTATTACACATAGCCAAACAAGAGAACAAGAACCCGCTGACAGCATACAAATAAATATGGCTATCTTGACCCAGCAATCCCTCCCCCTCTCACACACAAACAAATTCACTGCAGTCAACTGAAGGCAACCAACAATGCCTTGGACCCTCCAATCTCTCTTTCACTGCCAGTGAAAACTAATAAATGAACAGAAAGAGAACCTACCCACATGACACTGACACAAAAACCTTGCACATACACTATGTAAGAGAATAGAAGTTTACTGACCTCCTCTCTCCCCCACTCCTTCCTCCCCACCTCTCTTCTCCCCCAACCTTATATTGACGACAACATGAATGTCTCATATCAAATATAACTGATCTGTAGAAAGGGTTTTATGATCTGAAAACACAGACAACATACTTTTGTAACCCAAGAATTTTAAAAAAATAAAAACCATAAAAAAATAAGATCAGAAAGTGACTATAAATGAAAAACAAGTTAATACAAATAAAATATATGATATCTGAGGATGGTTATGTTAAACTCCTGATAGTAATTTAACCTTGAAGCAAGGAGAAGAAAAAGATTGACAGCAACTAGTATTATCACTAGCATCTATGGAAGGAACTATGTTTATATAGCCCTGAAAATGTTGCTTGACCACCTCTGGGGAGATTTTAAAAGTTAGGCTTGCAATTTGAGAGTGATTTTGGATTCTTCCTGGAGCTTGCTTTCTGCAGAAGGAAGAGCTGAATACAGCTATTTGTGGTCTAGTTAAGACCCAGGCTACTCTACTGCATTTAGGGCTGCCCCTGAAAACTGCCATGAAATTTTAGCTGTTTCAGGCATGTTAAGCCATGACATGTTAGAAGATTACCACTGATTTTGAGTCATTTCCAACAAGACCAGTTCAAATTGCCTATTTTTACCTTGAATAGTGGAGAGTCAGTGATGAGTTCAGAGTTGTGTGGATACACTAGCGCTCCACTGGACATAAAACCCAAAAGCTTCTCAGTAAGGTGAGGTCTCCTGAGCAGTATGTAGGGTATTGTACAGGGCTACAGTGGGAGGGATAAGTATCCAGAAATCTTGTGGCCAAACATTGTACAGTGGAGCTCCACTTGCACAAACTTCCTCTGACCACTTTCATTGTCTCCAGAGACTTTTTAGGGCATGCAAGGGCTGCAGAAGGCAAAGAGGAAGAAATAATTTTTGGATGTGTGATCTGCCTTATGCTTTTCCCTCCACTGAACACAACACACTGGTTTTAGCTGCTATTTTTTATCTTGCTACCCATTTGCCATTTTATCTTATTACTTTTTATTTGATGCATTAGCATATATAAATACATAATAATAATAATAATAATAATAATAATAATAATAATAATAATAAACTTATTTATACCCCGCCCTCCCCAGCCAAGGCCAGGCTCAGGGCAGCTAACAACCAATAATAAAAATGAGTTGAATGAATACAACTTAAAAACAAGATTAAAATACAACATTAAAACTTTAAAACAATTAAAATGCAGCCTCATAACAGGAGGAGAAAGGAAAAAGAAAGAATATGGATTTCTGGGCCCTTACTAATCATATAAATAAATAAAATGAATCATCCCTGAACAAGAGTCCATGGAAACTTGATATACATGTTGAGTATGTGCTTCCTGTTTACATTATTTGGTGAGGACCACTACACGCTCAAGGGAAATCTAACAATGAATGGTAATCACCATTCAAGTTAAAAGGTAAGTTCTTACACCAAAAGCGCTGTGACTAGAACAAAAGCCATAAAAGGTT